TCCTTCATCCTTTCCTTCCTAATTAGCGCCCTTTCACCGCTACATCGACTTTCCTTCTGCCCCTCTCTATCGTAATGAACTGTATCCTGTGCAGCTTAGTGCAGTAACAGTTATCTCACTTGTGCCAGTCACAGTTACTTATATTTGCTGCGATGCCATCGTCATCCCACTCAAGAGCAAATCTTCCATTTTTTGGCTCAACAGTTTCAGCATACCACAATAAATTCTATTACTTGAGACTTTTTTGACAGCATTTGTCAGTATTACAAGAAAGAAAATTAAACATTAAAAAAGCGAAAAAATAAACTACATTGTAAGAACAGTGAAATACGGGGAAGGGGAAAGAGGAAACTTTAATTGTTGGGTGACTGATGCGATACCGGTTTTTTAAATGCAACAAAAAAAAATTATGTATTTTTTTCCCCAAAATATCTTCCTTTTCTGTTCATTCCTTCATTCAAAAATGTATCTGTCAGTCATCTAAAGCAGATTTTTTTTTTTGAAAAAAATTGTGCTTTCTTTATTTTCCCAACAATTAACTACTTAACCTTCTCGCACCCTTCCGCCTCCCTCACTGCCTCCTGTACCCTTTCCCTTAATGATTGGAATTTGCGACTTCTCGGTTCCATTTCTGGCACACTATTTGCAGACGGAAGGTTTTTCTATTGTTCGGCAGTTTAACAGGACACCTGACCAATTCCTAGAATACTTCAACATTTCCAATTTCTTTTATTTAATCTTCGTCTACCTATATTGTTGTCCCTATACCTTACATGCTTAACTACAATCATTCGTTTATCTGTGAACTTTATTAAAAGAGTCATTACTTACAAACTGCAAAGATGCATTGTGGCATGAAAAACCGGTAATAATAGATCAGAAAAAAAATTTTTTTTGCCCACTTATACTCTTTAAATACGTTTGTTTAAACAAATAAGTAACAAATACTTAAACAGACAATTTCGTATTACAAAATAACTACAACCACGATGCCTATGACAATGATGACAAGAGCGATGGTCCTTAATTAGCAATTTAAATCTTATTTTTTATTATACGAATATTTTTACCATTTTTCTAAAACATATTCATCAAGTTTTTTTATACATCCAGTTTTCTTTCAACTTCTACATACATTCAGTAGCACTTTTTCCTGCCAGATTTCGGTAACACCAAATTACAGCTGATTACTGAGATTGTTTAACAACTGTTGTCTCAACAACAAAGTAACACAGAAAAAGAAGTTAAAGCTGAATATACAGCTATATACATAATTACATATATATTGAAAACTACCAATTACATATATATATATATATATATATATATATATATAT